ATGTGTAATCAAATTAAGTTTTGATATAGGTCAAAAGCAAGGGTTTGAAGGAATCTCCCTGACATACCTGCACAGGTTTGGTTGAATTTTTTTTAAAATTGGTCTTTGATTTTCACCTTAGCCTATTGTCTATTCCTCATTCCCACCTTTTTTTTTTTTAAGTTTCACTAAAATTTTTTTAAAGTTCAACTTTAAAAGTAAATAAAAGTAAGTATAAAAGTAAATAAAAATAAATCCCCAGCCAGCATGGCTCAGTGGTTAGAGCCTCCGCCTGTGCACTGCAGGGTCGCAAGTTCGATTCCTGGTCAAGGGCAGGTACCTGGATTGCAGGGTCAATCCTCGGCCCCACATGGGATACGTATGGGAGGCAACCAATTGATGTGTCTTCCCACGTTGATGTTTATCTCTCTCTCTCCACCTCCCTCCCTCCCCTGCACTCTCTCTAAAAAAAGTCATGGAAAAAATATTCTCGGGTGAGGATTAACAAAATAAGTAAATAAAAATAATCCTCAATCTTACTATAGAAATAATTACATTAATAACATGCTGTAATAACATTTGTGAATACTGCCTTCTAATCTGTTTTCACTTTTTATATTGTTTAGAAAATTAATTAGTAGGTATAATTTTATAACTTGCTTTTATTCTTAATTAACATAACAAACACTTTCCCAAGACAGAATACTCTCTTTCTTGTTTACTAGTGTGTAATAACCTTTACCAGCCTTTTCCATCTCTTTAGGCCTCAGATGGCCCATCTGTTAAAGGTACACGATACTTATAAGAAAATCATGAGAATTAAATGAGACAAGTATAAATCATTCAACATAATGCCTGACATATAGGCTAAAACCAAACTTTTTATTGATGAAAGCTTGAACTAAAAGACTTAGTTCAAAAAGATTTTCTTTTTAACCCTCACCTGAGGATATTTTTTCCATTGGTTTCAGAGAGAGCGGGGGAGAGAGATAGATAGATAGGCATTGAAGTGAAAGGGACACATCAATTGGTTGCCTCCCGCACGAGCCCTGACTAGGGATAGAGTTTGCAACCAAGGTATGAGCCCCTGGCTGGAATTGAACCCAGGAACCTTTAGTATGAGGGTCGATGCTTCAACCACTGAGCCAAACCAGCTAGGGCTAGTTCAAAAAAAGATTTTTCCTATAAACTTGTAAATATTTTAAAACTTGCTGTCAAGACTATTTTTATTCCCATTAGCTGTACGTGAATGTAGGATATGACTTTTGTCAAGTCTTTATAATATTAAGAATTATCCTTCTGACAAATTTTTACCATTGACTGATGGACAATGGACTCTTACTACTACTTTACCATATATATCTTGAATCTAAAATATTAAGATTTTTATTCATGTTTGTTAGCCATTTATGTTTTCTCTTTTAAGCATTGACTTCACTGTTCACTTATTTTTAACTTAGGCTTTTTTTTTTTTTTAAGTTGGTCATAAGAAGGTTTTTACTGTTATGTTTCAAATACTTGTTCCCAGTTTGGTTTAACCTTTTATAATGATGTTTACTGACACAGAAGTTTTATTTTAACTTTTCTGTAATAACTTTTAAATTTCGACAGTCCTTCCATCCTAACATCAGTTAAGTATTTTAAATTTTCTTAATTCTGTTGTTTTCATTGTCCCATTTTATTTGACTTTTTCTTTACATTTTCCTTTTTAGCCCATCTGAAATTTATTTTAGTATAAGGTGTTAACTTATATTTTTCTATTTTTGTAAATACCCAATTTTCCCTCCATTTCAATTTCACCCCACGCTTTTTCTACTAGTTTGTGACATTTCTTTGGTATACTAGCGTTATGTTGCAGGACTATTGATTCTGTCCCACAGATCTGTCATTTTTTTACAAAACAATCTTCCCATCCAGAAATATGGTATTCCATCAATTTGTGTTAGGAATTTAAAAGTTCATAAATTTATATAGTTATCTATATTCAACAAATATTTATGGAGCACCTTACACATTTCTTGGTAAAATTATTTTAAGGTAATTGTTATAGCTATTGAAAAAAGAATCCCCCTCCAAACTCACACATCCATATCTTTTCTAAGGAGCTACTATCAGTTTATAGAGAAAATATTTTTGTGTATGTTTTATATAAAACACTAGGAAGTCTCCTACTTCATATTCTTGAGCTCTACAGGGACCCAATCATATTAACTGCAACTAAGGAGAATTTTGTTTCCTCCATTCCCATTATTTTCCTATTAAACTGGATAGAACTCCTAGAACAAGGATAGCAAGTATGTTTCACAGAGAGGCAATCCTAACTCATTGCAGTCACAGTGAAATATCATGTTGAAAAAGATTCTAAGGCCATCTTTTTTACTTCACAGTAATACAGATAAAATCCTAGGAAGATTCCAGAAGAACAGCTAAGGCCCTCTAATATGAAGGTCCTGAAGCTTTCTGTTTTGCAGTGCATTCATTTTTCTCTGTTATTTGACTCCGTTGCTTTATTGAGTTTCCTTTTTCTTAGTTTTTGAGTTAAATGCTTAATTCATTTTTTTAAAGATAAGTACTTAATGCTATGAATTTATCTCTATCAATTTGGCCCACACTCTAAATTTTTACCCATATAGTTCATTGTCATTATTTTTGCTAAGCCTTTTTTAATAGTTCTGATATCATTTTTAACTCAACAGTTATTTAGAGGAAATTTTTTGTTTCAGGTATTTGAGGTTTTTACTCACACATTTATTATTAAATCACTAGGATTGCTGTGGTGTGGTCAGCTATAATGTCTAACTTAAACTTTAAGAAGTTTATTTTTGGTGTTTTTGTATGTGTGTAGATTATATGCTGACTCTCTGTTACTCCTCTCTGGATAAGGAATCACTTCATTAGTGAATATTTTCTTGTCATAATGTGGATAATGAGCCTCCTGTATAACAAAATCAGTCCACTAATGCTCCTTACCTTCCCAATAATTAAGTGAGACTCCCTATTTCCTCTTACTGGATCTCCCAGCTATCAGCTGCTCAGATACTCCTCCAAAGACAGCTACGTGTCCCTGAGCTCCTATGAGTTCCACAGGCACACTGGCATTTTTCACCCATAGCACTGAAGTGGATTTACGTTAGTTCTTTGCCTCCAGTCTAACGAGCACATCTGTATTCTAAATTCCAGTCCCTCCCAGTCTACCTCTTCCTACTGAAGTCTACTTTTCAATAGACCAATTAGTCGCAAAATATACTATCAGGACAGAAGGAGAGACCCAGTGTCCTGGACGCCTGGGACACCTAAACTGTTTCCTATCCAAACTGATCAGATAATGAGTATTCCAGTTTCTCTATACCATAACTAAAAATGTTATTCTAGAGAGTAATGTTTCTTTGCTTGGACTTGAAACATCTCAACACTGATTTTCAAGTACAAATATTAAACAGAATAACTTTAATGCACACATTTTTCTATTGCATTCCTATCACAGTTTAATTTCAATTTCCCGTTTTTCATTTCCTCAATAAATACCAGGAAACCAATCAGGAGAAAAATAAGTTATACCTCACATTTTTAATTTACTAAGGTTTGAAAGAATTCACCAAGAAAACGCTGACTCTGAATTTTTAAACTTGTTTTTACTTTTTATTCAGCCAAAAATAAAGCTATAGTGGTTTACTTTTTAAAATCATCAAAAGTGAGTACTGTGGTGAAATTCTAAACACCTGCAATAACATACAAAAACTGCTGAATCTGTACATTTATACCCATCAGTTCCTACAGATATATCAAATTGCCTATAGTCTGATATTATGAGAAAGTTAGTAATATCTCTCTAACCCTGAGAGTTTTTCAGGCAAAGTTGGGAATTCATAATCAAGATTACAGGATTCTTGTGCTAGCTCCATCACGGGGCCCAGAGATCAGGATCAGTGATGAGCTTCTTTGATCACCCATTAACATATTTGCAATTCAGAAATGGTCTATGACTAAACATCCCAAAACTTTTCAAGACTGTCTATGACTGCTGAAGAAAACAAAATTAGTTTAGAATCCAAGAAAAATTAAAGTAAGACTAAATTACCATTCTTACTAAAATTTTTAAGTGAGTCAATTTTTAAAGAAATTAAAGTATGTATAGTGGAACCTTGGTTCCCGAAGTTAATTTGTTTCAGAAGGCTGTTCAAGAGGTGATTTGTTCAAAAAAACAAATCATTTTTTCCCATTAGAAATGTTAATTGCGCCCGGCCAGGAGTGGCTCAGCGGTTGAGCGTCGACCTAGGATCCAGGCAATCGGGGTTCAGTGCCCAGCCAGGGTACATGCCCGGGTTGCGGGCTCGATCAATGACTCTCATCATTGACGTTTCTCTCTCTCTCTTCCTCCCCTTTCCTTTCCTCTCTCTGAAATCAATAAAGATATACTTAAAAAAAAAAATGTTAATTGGATTCGTTCCAGACCCCCAAATAATTCCATTAGACAGTATATGTGTAATGTACTGTTTAATCTATAAACAAACACTTCTTAAATTTATCAAACCACCCCCTACTAGCCTTAAATGAATCACTTTCAGCCCTGGTTCCAGGGGTGTCTTTCAGGAAATCAGCATGCAGCATATTTGCTTTTTCACATATTGCCTTCAAAATGCTGTCACCAGCTATTTTTTGTTTATCCAAATCAATAACAGTTTTTCTACCTCTTCATTTGCCTGTGATCATTGTCTTTCACACCCTTAGCAACAGCACTCTTGATGGCCTCTTTATGTTTTAAAATTGTGCTAATCATTCATTTCTCCAGCAACAAAAGCAAAAAAGCCCACAAAAATATTCACAGCACAATTTCCTGAGATGTTAACAATGCGAAGTTTAGCGGTAAACTGACTCATGCTGGCGCATTCTCTCCTTTGTGGCACGAGAGATGCTTTTTGTGCTGCTGATGTATCAACATGAAAGGGTTGTTCAACAACTGAGGCATTTTTCCATGAACAACTTGGTTGACAATCAAATTGTTCGAGATGGGAGATGTTTGAGAACTGAGGTTTTATTGTACTATAAAAAGATACTTATTTCTTATGCAAAATGTAACCACTGGGGAAAACTGGGTGAAGAGTACATGGAGTTCTCTGTATTACCTTTACAACTTCCTATAAAGCTGGTGATTTCAAAATAAAAAGTTTTTTTTTAAAAAAGAACTTACAAAAAAAGAACCACTGATACAAACATGAGTAAATCTCAAAAACCTCATGTTAAATGGAAGAAGCCAGACACAAAAGACATGTATTATGTAATTCCCTTTATAAGAACTTTCTAGAAAATGATATAATACAACAGGAGAAAGCAACAGTAGTTGGCTGAGGAGTAGAAGTGAGGATTGACTATAATGGGGCACAGAGAAACCTTCTCAAGTCTTCTAAAACTGGACTGTGATGATAGTTACAGACTCAGATTTACTAAAACTATACATTTAAAAATTGGTGAATGTTATTTATAGTATGAAAATTATACTTCAATAAAGCTACAGAGAAAAGGTTAACAGTAAAATCTAGGTGATGGTATATGAGCGTTAATGTAAAATTCTTTTAATTCTGCTGTATGTTTGAAAATTATCGTAACAAAATGTTAAGCAAAATTCAAGTTTTCATAAGCTATACAATTAAAAATAAAAAAAGTTGTATTTCCGGTGGCAACTCACAGTTCCAGAAAGATTTAATAAAAAAGTAAGTCAACAGCATCCATTCAGTTGATGGGTGTACATATACCACATTGAAGCCCTTGTTTCACAATGTGTTGTGAACAAAGGGGCCCTGGAATTTCTATCCCCAGTCAAAGCTGTCCAAAAATCCACACGCTCCTGTTAGAGCAGTTGGTTATTTATTCAGGCACAGACTGGAAACCTAAGCACAAACATCTTACATGTTTTAATTACCACATAGAGAAAATTCAGGTTTCAGCTTTCTGTAAATTATAGTTTTGGCAGTATCAAAGTAACCAAGAAACAAAAACCTCATCAGAGTTTTTACATAAGAATCACAAATTTTCCACATAAAAATTCTCCATGAGGTTCTTAAAAGGAAAAAATATTTAAATGTAGTTAGGTACGTTATCATCTTCCGCATGCCTTTAATTAGAATCAAATCCACCAATACATAAGAATCTTATCAGACAGTCAACAAGAAATATTGAACTTATGCAGAAAAACAGCCAATTGAAATTTTGTTATCATAAAAGTAATACGTTTGTGGAAAGAGAACATCTTTGCACTTATATACTTCCTAAGATTCCTATTTTTATTACTACATTTATGCATATCCCAATTTTGAAGAGCAAAGTAGTCTCACTAGCCTTAAAAAAAAAAGGTGCTTTTAAGTCTTCACAAATGTAATATCTAAAGAGAAATAGTTATATAATATTCACTTTTATTTATTTATTTATTTAAAATATATCTTTATTGATTTCAGAGATAGGAAGGGAGAGGGAGAGAGGGAGAAACATCAATGATGAGAGCGTTGTCATTGATCGGCTGCCTCCTGCATGTCCCCGACCGGGGATCAAGCCCGCAACCTGGGCATATGCCCTGACCAGGAATTGAACTGCGATTTCCTGGATCCGAGGTCAATGCTCAACCACTGAGCCAACCCTGGCTAAGCCACTTATATTTTTTTAATTTCCAAATTCTATACCGAAAGTGTACTCCTCTTTACAAACTTTCAAAGGTAGTATGTATATTTTGGCATATTTATTAGAAACTATAAGTATGTAAATAAAAATGTCAAAAATTATTAGAATTAAACTGAATGTTTCTAATCTGTTATTTTTCTAACTCCCTGCTATACATAATAAAAGAAGAGAACATTATACTTACCACTGTACCTGGCAGGAGGAATATAAGTAATGAATGGGGAAAGCCAGCAGAGACCTTTTCAAAATGTACTTATGTTATAATTTAATTTCTCAAAATGGGGGTAAGAGAGGGGACAAGTATATTATTTATTGTTGACTCTTAAGTCTTACAGTAATTAGAAAATGGAGTTCTGTAAGTGCTAGCAAGTGAAATACAAGATACGGATTCCTTTGTTTCACCAACACTATGATTAAATAATCACATTAGAACTAAGTCAACAATTTACCTTTGTACTGGCCACACCAACTTCAGGCCCAGCATTAATGTGAACTCCACAGTCTGTCTCCCTTGATATGGAACTGCCGACAGTGTTTGTGATCCCCACAGTTAAAGCTCCTCTCTCCTTGCAATACCGAAGAGCCATCAGGGTATCTGCTGTCTCACCTGTGCATAAAGGAAGACAAAAGTAACACATACAGCAGTTAATACATGCTGTTCCTTAGATATAAAAACAAAAAACTGACTACACTTGCAACAAAATCATTTGTTTTAAATAAAATTTAAAACATGCACTTAAAATAAATTAGCAAAATTTTAATAATAGGATCCCACTTTTTAGGATCTCCTTTCCTTCTCTGTCTTTAAAAATTCAGCTCTTTAAGTATAAAATGTATTCATTTTACTAATTCATTAAGAATTACATAATATCAAAATAAATCTCTATTTGTCATCTGCAATACCATTTTATCTTTAAATATCAATTTTTGCCAAGATCATTATTAGAAAGAATGACTTTCCTTTTCTTCAAGTCTTTAAAATTAGCATACCTGACTGACTAATAAAAAAGCAAACATCGTCTCGAAAAACTGGCGTGTTTCTATCCAGGAAATCACTGGCTAGCTCCACCATAACAGGCAACTCAGTCAGCTCTTCAAGAACTTGACGAGTCTGTAAAGAAAAAATTATTTGGTCAAACAACTTTACTTCAAATATTCTTTTTCATAGGCCTTCTTTGGACTCAATGTATAGTTTTCACTTTTTCTGATTATAAAAATGAAACATGCAAATTGCTAGAAAATATAAACAATATAGATTAAAGCACAAAAAATAATCAAAATCTCACCACCCGGAGGTAAGTACTGTTAAAATTTGGTACCAGACTCTTTAGACAATTATCAATCCACGTATTTTACTTACTAAGCAAATACATCCACATATATGTTTTGAGAAATAGAAAAAGCACTGTTCTGAATTAGCTTGTGTGTTATTTCTAATGAATTTTAGAATGGAAATTCTAAATGGAATTTTAAATGGAAATTCATTGTACATTCCTAATCTTTAAATGGAAATTCATATAATACCAAATCAGAGAGGTTTCAAAAAAGATAAAACACCCAGTGAAAAATTAAACACTTCAAAAATACTATGTATTCATAATAGTACCATTCCCAAAAAAGTCAATACACTTCAGAAATCTCGTTTTAAAAAGCTCACTATTTTCAAATTTTGTAGTATGGATGATAAAGTAAGAGGTAGTATACTTCTGCGCAAATAGCACCTTAACATTCATTTTACTAAATTTCCCTTTTAATTAAATTCTTTTTACTCTAAACATCAGAAAATTAAAAACAATAGAAAAATAAAATTTTAGGCAGCAAAAATTTTAGGCCCTTTAGCTGCATACATTTAGTTGCTTTAATAACAACTGTGTAAACCACCAGCTTCTTTAGTAAGCGGCCCCACCCACCTTTTGCCCCCTCTCTGCATCCCTCCTCCTCCACAGCAGTGAAGAGCTACGAAAGTTCCCTTACTTCATATCCTTTTCACTTTCTTGCCATAAATGTGAACTAACTCATTTTGTTCTACAACTTTGGTTTGGCACTTCTTTAAAATGTTATAACATCGTGTATATATACTAAAAAAGCAGTTATGCAAATGTGCCATTCATGTTTGACCCCACTAAAAATAAACAAAAAACCTACATAGAATTAATGACACTGTTTTGTACAATGAACCATTGTACAAAATACAATGAGATTTCTGTTTCTTAACTATAGTAGTCTCAGTATCCACAAAAACAAAAACAAAAACAAAAAATACCTTACATCTTCTCAAATTTCTGAATTAGAAAAGTCTAACAGAGCATATAACTTCTGCCCCAAAATTCAGGCTTAGCACTAGATACAACATTTAATTAAAATTTTAATTTCTGAATAAAGGACTCATTCAGTAATAGATCTAAACCACCACTAAATTAGCCAATCCCTTAATTTACAGTCTTTAATTCATTGTTTTTTTCCATGCTCAAAACTATCACTTTTTTTTTTTTTTATAACTCTTTCCTTTGATACTGCAGACTTTCCTTTTTTGGACCATGTAATTTTTTTTGGGGGGGGAGTGCTTTAGAAAAGAGTAAAGCCTGTTGAAATTCAAGGGCTGGGTGACCAGCTAGTTTTACCCACTAAATAACTGGCTCCCACAAGCACAGATAATAAATCTCTATGCCCCAGCAAATAAAAAATTACTATGTCATGAACTTTGAGAATCATCCTGAAAGAAACAGCTGAGTATGAAGGGTCTTCTGTACTTATGGGAGTTGACATCAGCAGCACATAAACTACACATGGATCTCATTTATTGGACTAAAAGACCATTATATTCCTATGTTTCTGCACTGACGACAACACACTTATTTGATACAAAATTTCATCTTCCAAAATAAAAATTTAAAGAACAAAGTCTGACAAAAGGCAGACTTCCTTTCCCTGCAGAAATGTGCCTGCCAAGTAAAATCTTGTTGAGGTTCACACATGGTACCAGCATCTGTTTGGGGCAAGAGAACAACGCGAAGCAAACACCAAAGACTGCTCTTGTAGAAGCAGGCATGTGCACTAGACCACAGGGCCAAGATGGTGCAAAACCTTTCCCTCTCTTTGCCTTTCATGAACGAAGTCAGTTTTAGGCATTCTACCTGTATATCTGAGGATCTTTCTAAAGCAGATCTTCCATCAATAAATTATTCTAAGCATTTATTGAAACTTCTCCCCCAATCTTTTTTATTTTTGTCATGCAACATAAAAAGATAACATGATGTTTTAACAAAGGAGTTATACACGGTGTGTTACTGGAGGTACTATTTGTCTGCAGATATCTTCTGATACCCAACAGAACATAATTAAGATTTTAAGAAGCCACTTACTGCTACACCAGCATGATAACTTGTTCCACAAGCAATAAGAATCAGACGCCGGCACCTCTGGATCTCCTTAATGTGATCCTTCAAGCCACCCAAGTTCACTGAAATAAAAGTTGATGTATATAAATATTTAGGAATATGAAACAAGCAATCACTTTTCATAAGCGTCCACTACCAACCCGAGAAGTAACAGAATTTTGAAGAATTCATATTCCTCTTAGGAGCATAGTTTTCCATAGTTTGAACTTAACTGGTCTCCCCAGACTTGTAACTAACCTTACTCACTCCCCTCCCACATGCCAACTCAACAACAGTATTTATCATTCTTTAACTTGTTTAGTCATTTTTACATTCCTTCCTTTAGATTAAAAGTTATCTTAAAAGCAAAACTACAGGGACACAGACAACAGGTCAGTAGATGGTGATGTCTGGAGGTGAGGAAAGGGCCGACTACAAAGGGGCATAAAGAGCATTTAGGGTGACGGAACTGTGCTATGTCCTCATTGCTGTAGAGGTCAGCATTATGGCCATGTTATGGAAGTTTGTTGAAACTCACTGAATTAAACATTAAGAACAATCAATTTTATTATATCTAATTATATCTCAATAAGCCTGCATGGCAAAAAAATTGTCTTAGTTATGTTCATTTCCCCTATGGTATGTATAACAGTGCTCTGAACACAATATAAAACCCACTCTCGTCTCAGTCTTTCCCATCCCATTCACTTAACATCACAGTCATCCTCATTGCTCCTATCACTCCGCCACACCCACTCCCCACCAGCAAGTCCTGGGAGCTCCACCTTCAAATCCTACCTCTAATACCATCACCACAGTGCAACATCTCTCCCCTGGCTGAAACCAACATTCTAACTATTCTCTCTTCTGTTTTCCATCTGCTACAGCCTGTTCCCCACACAAGCCAAAATAATCTTTAGAGTGATTCTTTAAAACCATAAATCTGATTAGCAAAACCCTCTTGAGTCTGTCCGCCTCCTTCTGTCTCTACAGCTATGTATATTTTCTTTTAAGAGTACCCTGTCTATGAACCCTTCTACAACAAGGCTAGTTTTCTACCTGTGAGAAATTTTCATTCGAGATTCATTCAATTATTGAACTAATATTTATTGAGCACCCACCAAGTGAATATACTGTCCAAGGCACTGTGTGCCTACCAGAGCTCTCTACTCAGTTCAGAGCCTGGCTGAGACAGACGTGCACACCTGGGCAGCACCTTCCTGCATCGGACTCACCATCAATGTGCCTGTTTTGTCCCTGTTTTTCATCTCCCCACCCTTTTTTCTTCCTTAATTGGCTAAAATATGGAACCAAGGGACATTTTTGCTTCTTATCTTTTTGAATAATTTTATGTTCTTCCTTTACACATCTATTTCTTTATTTTAAAAAATTAGTAAAGTGGAAAATAAAACAACTCAAAGCTTCTGTGGCTTCCCAAATAACTTAAAACAGAACCCAAACCCCTTATTATGGCCTTCAGGTCTTCGCATGCCCTGTCTCCTGCTTAACTGTGACCTAGTCTGACTCCCCCTCTCACCCAGGCCATGCCAGCCAAACTGGCCTTCTGGTTATTCCTGCACCAGGCCAAGCCTGTTCGTGTACTTCTGCCTACAATGTTCTTCTACAGGTCTTGGCACTTAGGAAAAAGTTTTGGGAAGATAGGAAACAACAGCATGAGGTTGGGCCAGGGTTGTGCTAAGGCAAATCAATTTGGAGACAACTCATAAAAGCAGACAGATGGTCAAAGAGACTTGTATTTCAGATGGTGATCAAGAATGACAGGAAGGTAAAATGGTGAGATTAACTCATCACAAGTGTTTCCCTAAAATTAGTCCTAGCAAATTCCCTGCTGGCTGAGGGACGTTTGAGGTAGTTCTGAAGGAGTCACCAAAGGTCAGAATTGATGATGCTTTGGAGAGAAGCCTAATTATGGTAAGGTAGACCACAACTACGGGAAGCAGCAAGAGTGCCTAGAGGGCAGGGATGCGGATGGAGCATTCTGGGGAACACTACTGAACGTTGGAGGCTGGTCTAGTTCCATAAATGACTAGTGATATGACCTTTGGCAAGACACTCAAATTGACAGAGCCTCTATTTCCCTATCTTAACAACAAAAAAAGAAAACAGCTATCTTGTTTCTATTACAGAATTTTTGAGACAGACATAACTGATAAAAAGTGATTTGCAAAATCATGACTTCTCAAAGTTTGTCTCATTCTCTTCCCTTATAAAACAAATCTTTTTCCTGATCTTATTTCCATAAAGACCATAATGGTATTTACTGCTACTCTCCCAGTACTTCCAGCTCAACCATCTTAAACAACTCCCTCTCCCCAGACAGGCAGGTGCAGGTCCTGATTTAAACTGTTCCTGCTTCTCTCCTAGTCCCCATTTCCCTCCCCTTCCCCATCACTTCACCTCAGGTAGGACAACATCCCAAGTGGGAACTGCATCTCAGCCCCTTGCTCCTCCAATGCGCAGTGGAGACTAGTAGCTAGTTCACCTCAGTAACACTATGATCACCCCTGGCTCCTCAGTCTCCTAAAAGCTCTGCAATCTCTATAAAAGGAGGTACCCCACACATACCCCACCACACACACACACCATGTTAGAATGCATTCTAGGCCCTCCTTGACAGTTCCTCTCACCTTCTTTCCTAGACTTACCTCTCTTTAAGCACTAGATATGGGGCAGAGAAACTAGGATACGTATTATTCCACAAAGAGCTTTCTGATGGTGTCCACTATATCCCCTTAGCTAATACTGTTCTATCCAATTGCAATGACTCCATCTTATCTTCACCAATTTAAATACTCAGAAACCTAAGCATATACATTCTTTTTTACAGGCAAAAGGAAAAAAACCATTATTTGTACAGCTGATCCTGGAAAATATATGGAGTTTGTATGATGCTGTCTTTTAAATGCCGTCTCTTAAAGGTTAAATCTTCCAAATCTCTTAAACCCACAGCTGTCTACTTCATAAAGCCTTCCTGGCCCCAAAGCCCCTGCCCACAAACAGATTCATTCTCTACTTTCTCTAAATTCAACACAATCTTTAAACATTTCAACATTAAACTGTTTTTAATGCCATTTATCACATTTGACCTTGCTCTAGTTAGCTGTATATTCATCCTCCTTCTAGATTATATGAATCTCAAGGAGAAGACTGTATCAAAGATAACTCCTATAGTCCCTGCTATGTTCAGATGTTCAGTTCATAATTCAGCCTTCAAATCTCTCCTACTAAGAAAGACTCCAGTGCTGCTCAGAAAAGAAAAAGACGCAAAGACAGCATTTATTCAAAGAACTCATTCCCCATCAATTAGCAGGACTTGATATAGAGACAGTTAATACTGTAAATATGACACATAGATTTAGAAAAAGATCTTTGCACACCTGCTATTATATTTCTCAAAAATGAATTCCGAACGCTGAGAAGCTTAGCTCAAAGCTTGTTTGTTAAACTGTTTTATTAAATGAATAAGTGTTGAATAAGTGTTCCAAAAACTTAACTTAGCAATAAACAGTATATGGACATCTTATGACCACAGACTGAACCTTAAACTCATCTCACCAGGTGCACAAAGTCCTGCAACACAAGATCTAGAGAGAATTTCCAGAAATAAGAACAGGGTTGCACTTTCACCTCTACCTGAAACATGCAGGAAAGTATAGATTATCTCATAAGGTCAGACAAACACCTGGAAAAACCTCTGGGGAAGTTCAGACCTTTACTCACTTATAAATTGAGAGAGAAACCCTGGCTAAGCACATATAGGTAAGTTTTCCAGCAAGGGGACCAGGTCTCAGAATTCTCAGTGCCCAGTGCAGTCCCTAGTACACAGTAGGTACGCAACAAAGGTTTGTTGAATTGAAAAGAAGTTAAATGTTTTTAGCCCCAGGAAAATCTCCCTAATACCCCCATAACTGACAGTAATTTTCAAATGTGACTTTCTAGCCATTTTTTAATATTTTTATAACCACTTTATTGAGATACATGACATGCCATAAAATTCACGCTTTAGAAGTATAAATCAGTGGTTTTTAGTTTATCTAATTTTAGAACATTTTCATCATCCTCCCCCCCCAAAAAACAGTAGTAGTCATTCTCCATTCCTCCTCCCCTCAGCTCCCAGTAACCATTAGCTATTATTCACTTTTTCTTAATCATGGTAAAATATACAGAAAATTTACCATTTTAACTATTTTTAAGCGTACAGTTCAGTAACATTAAGCACATTCACACTGTTGTGCAACTATCACCACCATCCACCTCCAAAACTTTTCATCATCCCAAACTGAATCTCTGTACTCCCCATTCCTCCCCTCTCCCTAACACCTGGTAACCACTGATCTACCTTCTGTCTCTATGAATATGACTATTTTAGGTACGCCTCACATAAGTGGAATAATACACTGAAGGACATTTTCACCCTCGCTGGGTAGCTTAGTTGGTTAGAGGGTCATCGCAATATGCCAAGGTTGTAGGTTCAATCTCCAGTCGGGGCACATACTAGAAGCAACCAATGAATACATAAATAGTGGAACAACAAATCGATGTTTCTCTCTCTCTCTTTCCTTCTCTTCCTCCCCTCTCTCTAAAATCAATTTAAGTTTTTTTTAAAAAATACACTAAAGGTAGCCATATGTTCTATGAGGCTATCAAGAACAATGCACTTCAGGCTGTCGATGCCAACCCCCACAGAAGCCTCTGAAATAATAAAATAATTCATATATAATTACCAGTATAGTCATCAAAGTTGACTCTTCCTCTCATTGTGTTCACAACTGACTCTGGCTGCTCAAAAATTTCCTTCTGCATAAATGAACTGAAGTTGCCTAAAGGAATATAAATTAAATCATTAAAACAAAAATTAATAAGCCAAGAATAACAAATTTGTACAAAACTGAAAGTCTATCTCCTGTAACATCATCTTAGTAAATGAAATGAAACAAAAGGTCATGCATTAGAGGACAATGTTCATATATGACAGTTTACCTTATGTGAAGAAAAATGAGTAAGGAGCAAAAATTACATAAAATATGCAGTTACAGCCTGGCCGGTGTGGCTCAATGGTTGAGCATCAACCTGGAGGTCATGGTTCTATTCCTGGTCAGGGCACATGCCTGGGTTGTGGGCTCAATCCCCAATAAGGAGGCATGCAGGAGGCAGCCGATCAATGATCCTCTCTCATAATTGATGTTCCTATCTCTCTCTCCCTCTCCCTTCCTCTCTCTGAAATCAATAAAAACATACTTTTTAAAAATGCAGTTACAGATAAACCGGGGAGTGGGACAAGCTCAAGTTTTGGATTCAGATCTAGGTTCAAATAAAGGCTCTATCCTCATTAACTAAGTTGCTCTGGGGAAATACCTCAATCTGTAAAATAAGAACAGCAGCTACATCATAGCATCACAGTGTGAACCCATATAGTATGGACTTGACATATAGCAGATACATAATAAGTGTTAGCTTTTATTCCCACCACAACCACACCAGAAAGGAGAATAAAAACCACAATCACAATAATTATAATAAATAAGGGCAGCAAACATTACGTAGAGTTCACTGTGTCAGGTGCTGTTCTAAGGGTTTTACATATATTAGCTCTCTTAATCTTCAAAACAACCTGAATGAGGTAGATCCTATTATCCCCATTTTATATATGAGAAAACTGAAGCACAGAGACAATAAGGGAAGAACAAAGAACACAAACTATATTTATAAAACATCTTAAAAACTATTTAAATAATCTCTTCTTAATGTCAGAAAAACAAAACAAAACATGAATTAGTTCGAAAGAGAACTATTGCCCAGCTGGGCATGGCTCAGCGATTAAGCATCAACCTAGGATCCACGAGATCAAGGTTCGATTACCAGTCAGGGCACATGCCCAGGTTGAGGGCTCGATCTCCAATGACTCTCATCATTGGTGTTTCTATCTCTCTCTCCCTCTCCTTTCCTCTCTCTTAAATCAATAAAGATATATTTAAAAAATTAAAAAAGGAAAGAAAGAGAACTATTATAAAACTAGCAGATAATTTCTTCAAAGAATTATCCCTTTTCCCAGGGCTATCCCTTCACTAATCATGTGGACAATTTTGCTCAGCACTGTGTTATCAGATTCCTACACTAGGACACCAAGCTATAAGATAACAAAAACTTTTACCCTTCATGATCTGCTGGAGTTCCATCTGGAGGGTTTGCACAGCTCTTCCAGGGTGATCACCTGCAGTTCGTTTAATTCGATGGATAGAAAGACGGCCCTCTACCACCGCTGCTACATCATCATCTTCAAGAAAAATGACGCGATTGGTGTGTTCTATGACAGCACTATAAAATATTCAAGGAGATCTTACAATCAATAATCAAGGATGATTATACAAATAAAACTATGATTAGGACACAGAAACTAAATTTAAATACAAACTATCATCCTGCATAATGTCTCTGATAGCTTTCTGGTTATCAGTGTCATTCCTCACAGGGGAGTAAAGGTGAGAGGTGGTCACTGTAGACAATGAATAAAAAGATCTCTATGCAACAACCTAAATCAAATTAGATTAGATCTGAAAGAAAGCCTGGTTGTTTCTTCATCATTCTATCCTTCACAAAGTATTCCAGTTTTAACTCCTAAATGTTTCTCAAAGCTTCTATGTCCACCACCACAAACCCATTCAAGCTATCATCAGTTCCTTGCTAAACTACTACAGCAACCTCCTAATTTGTCCACCCACATTCCCTATGATCTCCCTCCATCCATTCTCCATTTCTGCTAAAATGGATATCAAAAGGCAACTCTAACCAGGACTTCTCCCTCATTCAGCAAACCCCAGCAAACCACGTGACAGCTTCCCTTTGGCTCCTAAGAAAACAACAAAATGCGTAACTGTGACCCCTACTCTCCTCCTTTAGCCTCATCTCCCACCAACCTTCCTCTCTCTATTCAAGCCACACTCCCACCCATCCCAAACTCTCACAGGCTGATCAATCTGCAGAGAATCAATGCTCTTTCCTTGACCTCTTCACCTAACTAACTCCTAGTATCTCCTTAACTCTCATTTTAAGCATCATTCCCTTAAATAAATGTACCCAGCCCTAGCTGGTTTGGCTTAGTGGTTAGAGCGTTGACTCGTGGGGTTCGATTCCAGCCAAGGGCATGTACCTCCACTGCAGGCTCGTCCCCGGCCCTGGTTGGGGGTGTGTGCAGGAGGCAACCAAGCAATGTATCTCTCTCACATCAGTGTTTCTCTCTCTCTCCCTTCCACTCTCTCTGAATAGCAATGGAAAAAATATCCTCAGGTGAGGACTAAAAAACGAAAAAGATTTTTTTTAAAAAGAAATGTACCCATAGAAGAGTAAGTCACCCTGTTAAAAGCATTCTGTAGCTCTCATCACAACAAGAATTCTACACTTGTGTAACTTTATTAAAATTTGTCTCCTCCATTAAGAAAGAGCTCCTTAATGAAAAGTAGTATTTTTATTTTTACTCACCATTATTTCCTAAGCCCAGTACATGCTTTGCTAGTGTTCAGTAAAAACATGTAAGTGAATGAACAAAAAAGGCTGAGATGTTTCTGCAACTTCCAGTTTATTTAAGCTAGAACTGTCAACTCTGTAACAAATCTACTTGATGACAGCAATGACACATCTTAGCACAGACTACACACCTGTAAAAACACACTAAAGCTTGTTTCCTACTGAGATAATACTTTCCCTGCAGTTCTAACCTGCATCATTTTTCATTTCGGATCCCCTTACTTTCAGGCACAACGAATGACTCAAGTACTTGTTAGCAATTTGGATGATTCCATTTCATCCCATTATTATCAGTGTCTCATTTATAAATGCTTCTAAGCACCCCACTACATTTTCTCTCAAAATCTCTGAGTCTAGTACCATTTCCTATGTAAAAGTGAGTATGTTGCCAATTACTTCTGAAATGAAAAGGTAAGCGTCTACATTAGACTAAAAGTACAACGGTTTAGCAACTTTCCTATAATTGGTGAGATACTAAACAATTCTACTCTCCAATCTAAAATCTTTCCTCCTGCCCTGGTCAGGTAGCTCAGTTGGTCAGAGCTTCATCCTGAGATGCCAAGATTGCGGGTTCAATCCCTGGTAAAGGCACATACAAGAGACAAAGAATGACAAATTGATGCTTTTCTCTCTCTCAAATCAATACCAAAAAAATTTTTTTAAATAAAAATTAAAAACAAAAAAAAAACAATCTCTTCTCCCTCCAAAACTTAGGTAAGGCTCCTAAAAGGAGAGGGGGAAAAAATACAAGAGATCAGAGTAAATACACTAGAACAAGTCTCAAGGACTATTATCTGTTCTTTACTGACCTATGTGCTTTGAATTGAGAGAAAAGGTGTTCTTAGAGCCCCATCTCCAAAAAGAGGTCACCTTCACTTTCTTAATTAACAAAGTTCTCCTATACAGCATGACCAGATTTATACAAAATGAGTTTCTGGTTTTCTGTAGTATGACAAGTTTTAAGAAAAATTCTCTTTGAATCAACTAAGGAAGCTCACCTTGCATCAGAAGCAAAGTAATACTCCACAGCTTTTTCTTCAACAGGGAAAAGGCAAGTTGTGCTATCCACACGAGACAGATTGCAGCTTCCTTTCTTATCCTTGCCTAGAGCACAGAGTTAACAGAATCAGCAAACATGTACAAAACCATGGCCAATATATAAATATATATAATCTTCTATAAAATCAACAAAAAACCATGGCAACACAAAATAATTTCAGCAACTTTCAAATGCTGAAAAAAAGGGAGATCACCTTATTTCCATGCAAAAAGCCAAGAACAACAAGACAAAACGTGTAGAGTGAATAGCAACTATCAAAGAGAACGTGGCAGATAATAGTGCTACATTCAAAATATTTTTAATATAGTATTTCTTTTCCAGGTAAAAAGCAAGTTAATTCATTAATATCACTCTTTTTAAATAAAATATATGTATAGCCTAATCTTAATGGAATTAATACATTTAAGTTTGTATGCCTAGACATCAAAAAATTTAAAATATCAAAATTGTGCAAAAAATAAAATGAAGATTAGTGATATAGTAATTTTTATTATCTCAGAACAAAATTTCTCTAGATTTTAACAGTAAATTGGCACAACAAATCAAGATGTAGTCTCCACTAACTGTAATTTAAAAAGATATTTAAAATTCTCTAACCATGATATATATGTGGCACCTACTAATAAGAAATGAAAATATAAACCCAGAACCTTTTCTTTCTTAAAACTGAGTTTTGTAACATTTCTTTTAAGTCACTGTAAATACAGTCGTTTCGCAATAATAATATCCTCTTAATTCTAGTACTTTAGATTCTGGCATCTCTACTTAATTCATCAGGTCATTGATGAAGGTTTTCCCCCCCCTTTTTGCTCATTCACAACTAACGTCAAAACTGGAAAGCATACTGAAATTTAACAAATTAGCCAAATATATTTTTTTAAATCTATCCACTGAAGACTATATAAATGTCATAGAGGCAAAAGAGCACCTTTCTCCAAGTTCAGGACATGGTAGACCTTATAACCTATGGACACAACAGCCAGAGAATATCATAAATATATACTTGTAAAAACTCATATTGTGTTAATCCTCCAAAATGCATGTCTACAAAGACTTGGAAATAATTATTCTTAGAAACACACATCCAAAGTTCTCAACAATCCATGATTATTTGGTGAGGTTTAGGCATGAAAACAAAATGCTTTTCCTATCCAAATTCAACAATAGAAAAGTTAGCACACTTTAAAAAATAAATATTAGGTCACATCCCAGAAAAGATAACACTTGAGAAAGATAAAACAGATCAGTGTTTGCCAGGGGCTAGGAATGGGGACAAGGGTTGATTACAAAGCAGAATTATTAACAGAAATCTGGAACTCTGGGTCCAAAATCTGTATTCTCACTGGTAGGCTAGTTTTTCTTCTGAAAAAGGAAGGAGGGGGATGAGGAAGATAAGAAATCCAACATCTCAGAATTGAAGGTTATTTAAGAAAATAACTTTCTGCTACAGATCAAATAGTGAAAGCAGTCACGATCTAAAGATGAACAGGTTTAGAGTACTTTGCTAAATTTTTTTCAAGAAACCAAGAACTATACATTAATAGTATGGGTTCCAATTTCCTAAATTTGCTTTTAGTAATAAATAAATGGAAAGAGCACATTTGCTTTGGTCTAACTGTACCAACAAAATGTTCCAGAGTTTGTACAGCTCAAAGTCCTAAAAAAATTTAGCCCGGCCGGGTGTGGCTCAGTCACTGAGCATCAACCTCGGATCCACGAGATAACAGTTCGATTGCCAGTAAGAGCACATGCCTGGGTTGCGTGCTTGATCCCCAGTCAGGGGGCATGCAGGAGGCAGCTGATCAATGACGACTCTCTCACCTTTGATGCTTCTATCTCTCTCTCCCTCTCCCTTTCTCTCTCTGAAATCAACAATGATATTTTTTAAAAATTTCAAACATAAATTTAAATAAAGGACAATTCCAAATTCAAACAAAGCCAATCAAGATACTGAATGTAAATCTAAAAGTAAAATGTCATGCATAAAATAAAAACCACTAAAACCAACTACGTCAGTTAAAAATTAGGCTGAATTATTCAAACTACCACTGAATAGCACATGACACTCTTTTCCTCATCTTAGCATCTTAGTTATAATAATCTATCCTAGATGCTTTGAATTTAAAACAAAGAAAAAAAACTATTTTTTCAAATCTCAGGGACTTTAAAGAAACAAATTACTAAAAGCAGTTTTCTAAATGCCAAAAGCAGACAGACAAAATATACTTTGCAAATTAGAAAAATGTCAAAATATGTTTCCCCATACAATAAGCAAGTTTTTAGAGGCCCAGCACATTCATTCATTCCAAGTACAAAGAATTAGTAAAGAATGAACAAAAGAGGATAAGATTCCTCCCCATCCATGCAGTGCATTTCCCACCTCTTTCTCCCTGTGATCCCCACCGTGTGAATTTTGATCCAATCTGAGTCCTAGCTATGGATATACAACAGAAAAAAATTCTACTTGTCAGAGAAATCACAAAACAAATACTTTTCATGTCCAGACAGAACTACATATGGGTGGACCTGACCAAAGAGGCATTTATTTCAATTTAAGGAAAACAATTCTTTATATCTACTGCAGTCAATTTATACATTCTCCCCATGGCATGATGTAGGAATAGTTTTTACCTGTTCTGTAGAGTATTGGAATGTGATCAGTAGAGAGTTTATGTTCACTTCGTACACCAATCAGCAGAGGGCTACCTCGTCTGTTAGTACAAAATTAAACATAATTAAACCATTTTTTTAAATAACACATTAATGATATAAATTTAAATGTGATGACAGAATACTCTTCAAATAAAGTTTAAATCTTCCCTCCAAGCTCAACTTTAGATATAACAAAAGAAAGATATAAACAGAATTTTTTTAAAATATTCAATAACAGAGTTAGGCAAACTATGACACAAGGGCAGGTTTGTCTATTTTTACTGGAACACAGCCAATCTTTTATATATTTTCTATGGTGGCTTTCACACTACAAGAGCAAAACTGAGTAGTTGCTACCAAGGCCTTTATAGTGAAGGGTCATTTATAGTGTACAGAGAATAAACTTACAATACCAAAGTTTCAAAATACATATACTTATTAGGCATTATTAAATTTATATATACCTTGTGCCAACTGCTTCGCCAGGAAAATGAACACTTTTAAATACAAGTGCAAAAGCACCTTCCTATGGAGAGAAAAAAATGGATTAGCAATACATATGATAATTAATTATCAAATGTGAAATGTCTAAAACATACTGGCTTTATCACAGAAATTTTTGTTTACATACATAACTGCTCTTTTGCACTAGTTTATCAACAAGTCTAAATTTTAGGTAGACACTTCCTCCTGAGCTTTGGTGTATCCAAGACCTACTTTTTAACCAAGCCCATTCTTGAAATAGGCTCAAAAGATAATAGCTCTAAAACAGGCCATTTTAAAAGTCACCTTTGTACATACTGGCAACAATTCTCAATAAATACATCATATCTCCCATACTATACATCAGTAAAGGGAGGATAGAACTAACTAGGAGAGGTCCCAAGTTTAATATCCAAAACCCTTTCTCTGGCCCAGTAATTTTATACCTCTGTTAACTTTTACTCTTTTTGATCTTGATATTAAAGATAAATATTACACAATCACAATCACTAACATGCACACCATACCACCCCCTCTACCCAACCACCTCAGGGTCAGGGCCTAAAGAAATCAAGAAGGAATAAAGAAGGAACATGAGGTAGGAGAGGGAAGAAGACACCACAGAACACAAAACTGTATTTATACAATGCATAGAAACAAGAAAAGGCTGGGAAGACAGAGTATTCTGCTTTGAGTAAAGGGAAGGAATGGGCCTCTATTTTCTCCATCTTCCTGTTCCTCCTTTATTGTACACATCCTAAGATTGGGTGGAGGTGGAAGGTGAATATTGGAATTTCATTGAGAAGTAAAGGGCTTTTAAATGGGAAAGCTAGAGTTATGAGTGAGGAAAGGGGGTAGAAATCATTATGCATTTGGACTTTTATGGATTTTTAATCTTTAATTATGGCAACTGGGACGGGATCAAAAAGAATAGCACTTTTTTCTTGGGCTGGGAAATACTTTTCTATAGAGGCACAGAGCCAAGGAAAAGTCCCCATAAGGAAAAATAAGAAGCTGACTAAACTGGCTCAAAAACATGCAGACATTATCCCAGAATAGCGAGTATACATTTCATTGAAGCTACCCTGAGCAGGAAGCAAGAAATATTGAGTCCCTGACTGTGTGTACCATATGCATGTTTGGGTGTGGTAAGTATGGATTTATGTGTGTGGGCATGCATAGTTTTTGGACAAACTATTTTAGATTACCTTTAATTCCCATGTCACTACGCTACAGTGAAAGAAGTAGAATTTTAAGAGTATGTAGGAAAGGGGAGTCATCAGTCAAACAAGCTCTCAAAATTATTCAAGTTAAAAAGTTATATACATGAAAAATAAAAGCCAAAAATATTTTTAAATTAGCACTGTTCCTTTTTCTCAAACTTAATTTTAAGGGTTTATTATGATTAATGTTGGCAATAATTATCTTTAAAAATGCGGTTTAAAGACTGTTGGTTGCCAGAGGGGAGGAAGGCTGGGGGACAGAGTGAAATAGGTCAAGGGATTAAAAGTACAAATTCGTGGTTACACAACAGTCCTGGGGATGTAAAATACAGCACAGGGAATATAGTCAAATAATATTATAATAACCATGTATGGTGCCAGGTGGGTACTAGATATATCAGGGGAAACACTTTGTAAAGTATATGATTATCTAATCACTATGCTGTACACCTGAAACTAATACAAAATAATATTGAGTGTAAACTGTAATTGAAAAATAAAAAAACTTTTTAAAGTGTGGTTTAATACCAGTTGTTGGATAACTCTCTCCACCAAGGTAGTAAAACTGGTATCTTGACTTTCCCGATTGTCATACATGTACTTAACAAGCTTGGCAATTGTTTCTGTGTCTGTTTCAGATTCAAAGTCATAGCCTTTGCTTTCCTGTAATTAGAAAAGAAAAAAAATTGACACATTTAAGGAAGGATTCATCACATCCAAATCTTTTCTAAAGGATTTTTTTCCTCAAAAATCTCACTAACCAATTTCTAATCTTTTCTTGAACACCTCATCACCCACTGTTCAAAATTAAGGTCACCATCTAATTATAGTGAACCAAAAATAGTGAGGTATTCTGGGAAACTGCATACACTTATAATTACATAAATCTATATATGCCACATATGAATTAAATAAATTTTAAATAATTAAAATATAATGGAATATATAATACAAAACACTAATTCCATAATGAATATGATAATTCTTTAAGAATGATATACTATACAACACTAAATAGTCATTAGATGTATGTGGCTATTTAAATTTAAATTGATTAAAGTGAAATAATTTCAAATTTAGTTCCTCGGTCATAGTAGCTCAATAGCCACATGAGAACAGTGGCTACTATACTGGAAGGTTTCCATCACTACAAAAAGTTCAGTTGAACAGACCTGAGAAGGCACTATGAAGGTCATCATCATGGTCACTACTATATACATACATAGCTATGTAGGGCATAGAACCTTCATTTAATCTGTTGTGATTCTTCTTACATATCCGAGAATCTTTTAAAAATGACAAACAAGGTCTCTCACAACGCAAAAGACATACCCCCAAAATTCCAATTTTATCTGAGTTTCTGTGTCATTCATAAAAAGCCAAATAACTGTTTCCTTTTCATATAAGAAACAAAAATGTTCCACTGTCAACAAAGAAAAGTCGAATAAACCACCATAACCTTGTAAATGCCTTAGGAATTACTTGATCACACCTAGACAGTAATTACTGCACATCTCAACAAATAAGCTCACTGCTCTCATTAGAAGTATTGTCAAAGACTGGTGCTTTTTTAGGTCACTTTACTTACCAAGAACTTTTTCAAGTCTTTGTAGTTAGTGATGATTCCATTGTGAATAACAATAAATTCTAAAAGAGATAAAGATATTAATGACCAAATATTATAGGTCTAGTTAACATTATAAAAAGCCATAACTGTCAACAGATTTTTCTCAAGTCAAAAAATGTGTTACATGCTATACTAACTTCAAGGTGTAATCAAGTATTACCTACTTTTTGTTACCATATTATCCTCAGGTAGATCAAGAGCACAGTTTATGTGGCTTAGTGGAAGCACATGGTGCTGAGGAGGTGGGTACAGTGGGGAAATACAATGAACTGGGGTCTAGAGTCATCAAATTCAGGGCTAAACTACTAACCAAAAGTCACCAGGTGAAAGGAGCAAGTTCCTGGGTCTATGCCCTCATTTGCAAATTGAACTAAGTAACTATTATTCTCACTTCTTTGTTTATCCATTTTTATGCATAAAACATTCCTAAGTTTAAAGAGAAGGCTTTCAAACTAATACAACTATCTGATTTACACTAAATGAATTTAAGAACTAAAGTTAATAAGAAAAACTAGACATTATTCAGTTCTATAATTAAATTTATTTATTGAGGTCCAGACAATTCCTAAAATAATGTTAAAACAAAATTCCGACATCAAGTACAAGTGATAGTGGGATAATTTTCATCTTTCTTTTATTAATTAACTTTGAAAAATATAAGAATGGATAATTGAGAGTTGACAATATTATTATTTGTAGCTCCTGAAAGTGTACATAAAGGCTACTAATATGAATTTATTATTTAAAGTTCATGTGAGGAAAGAAATTACCACTAAATTCAATTTTATATTAAATCACAAAAATGTTTTTACTTAACAATCTGACATTTTGGCCTGACATTAAATGAGTTTGGACTGAATACATTACAAACCAAAAAATAAAATAAGCATTTTCACTAGATTTTTAGGAAAGAAAAGGTGATACCACAAAATACTACTAACAAAAAAATCTAAATAAAACTTTTTAATGCTAGACCACAGAGAATCATAAATAGCTGATAGCTGATATAATGCCTTAATTAAAAGCCAAATTCTCAAAACGTAATCTAGATGTTTTTAGGAATCTTTTATAAAGGCTTTGTCAGAATTAAACGTTTGAAAGATTGTTAGCATTCTAATCTGATTCAATAATAATTATGTGAAGCACAGAAACCTAAAAATGCAGCTTCTGAATTAAATTATAAAATCTTATTTCAAAAGGGATGTATACACACACACATACATGTATATACACACACATATACTTTTTGTATATATTTGCTTATTTTTTTAATTTTTACTTATTAATTTTAGAGAGAGGAAGGAAGAAGAAGAAAAGAGAGAGAGAGAAACATCGGTTTTGTTGTTCCACTTATTTATGCATTCACTGGTTGATTCTTATATGTGCCCTGACTGGAAATCAAACCTGCAATCTTGGTGTATAGGGATGACACTCCCACCAACTGAGCTACCTGGCCAGGGCTGTATATGCTTATTTTTAAAAACAAAAGAATAAACTCTAAACAAAATTGTTAAATGGTTATCTCCAGAGAAAGATGGAATAAGAAAAATAAGATAGAAACTAGACTTATTTTAACATGTCTTTTTTATAGGTATGACCTCAAGAACTATGAAAATATTTTCAATTTAAATAAAATTGATTTTTAAAGAAAATTAATCCCTAAAACTCAAAATAAAATAAAATGTATTAACAGAATGCTGTACCCAGCTGGTAGAATAACCACATACAGAAGGATTATTCCAAGTAATTCTAAAACACAGAAATTTGATTATACATAACTAAAGAGATATATTCTAAAGAAAAATTAACAAACAACAGTAAATATATTCCTATGGTAGTGTTGGTACTATGATTCTGTTTTATGTATATCATGTAGCAGATAAGTTACTGATGTTAAGAACTAAGTTTTAGGTGTGAACAAAAGAAAATGCATAGATCAATGAGGTAAAGTAAAAACCTTACAGCCCTGAATCTGAATTAGAAGTGTTAGTGTAAAATTATGTTGTGCTTTATCTTTAAATTTATATGTATGCAAGTGCACACACAGAAGTACATATATCTCCTAGCTCTGCCCACTGAAAAGGCCTAGACGTGATGAGCACTTCTAGGACCTGGCTTATAGTCTTTAAGTATCATTTCCACTAAAAAGAACTGGGGCTTCCATAGAGAAATGGTTGATTCTAAGCATGGGGCAGGAGTAGAGGAACATGGAACATCTTGGCCTACCAGAAAATAACAAAGACCACTGAGCCTACTGGGGCCACATCAAAAGGACTCAGAAGCCAACCTGAATAAACTTCCAATGGCCAAAGATTTTTGTGTATCAATATAGACAATTACTTCAGTGTTTTGAAACAAATGAAATATTTTAAATCCATGAGTTTATAATTTTAAAAAGAACTCATTGTTTATTTTAGAACACATCAACCACTTCATTTTTGAAAACTGGTAAATAAAGGAGGGGGAAAAATCAAACATTAATCATGCCTTTCCTATATACTCTGCACCTCAAAGTACCAAAGCAGTTGATATGGAAAATTTTCTCTTTATAGGGAAGTATCTGAGATAATAAATGAAGAAGGAATGACAGACAGTATTAAACTATTACCAATTTAAAACCCCTAAATAAATAATTAATCTTGGCAATGATCATCAATGACTGCTAACAACACCAAAAAAATCCAACATTATGACAAGAAAAAATATTCTGAGGTGTCCTAAATTAAATTACAGCAGGCCAGGGGGTGGGAAGAGGAGGTAGGGAGAGTTAATCAGTAACAGAGAGAAGAGCAGAAACAAACAAAAGACTGTTCACATTCCTTAATGTATGTTGAAACTTTGAATCAACTTTTAGGCCGCTATTTCAGCTCTTATCTAGAGAGAAGAGCCTACCACCAGATACCACCGCATCCTGCTTACCCATGAACTTTCCCAGCTATTGCCCATAACACAAAAGCAACAAACACTTCTTCCTTACTATATCATCTATCCCAGAACTAGCCCCACTTCAACTATTCCCACCCCCCTTACCCATAGCCAATGTAAATTCTTTCAAAACAACTTACAGTTTTTTTCTCTGAACTCATTGCATAAAAGAGCCCCCATGAATCTCAGGATGGTGAGCATGTTTGTCTTCCCAACTAGCCCTGCTGCTAGTAGTTTAAATTGTATGTCCCAGAAACTGGTCCTTTTTCTGGCTAGCATATGGCTCAATAAACCCTTTCTTTCAGAAAAACTTTCAACCTCAAAGGTTACTGTTTAACAATTATATACCTCCAGTTGTAAATAAACACTATACCAATTTATAATAGGACAGAGAAACATGTTAAATGACCCACTGTATGCATGCAATTAACATAATCTAAACTGTAGAAAATGCTGTAGGACAAACAACAGAGTAAACTGCAAGGAAAAAGGAAAGAAAGGGAGAAGTCTCTTAAGAGACATATCAATCTACTAAGTCCTTACCTTTTAGAGATACATACTTAAATATTTACAAATTAAATGCTATGATATCTAGCTATCTCTGATATATCTATCTATATGGTATCTATTAGCTTCCAAAATAATATGGGTGGGGGGTATAGATAAACATAGCTGATCATGTATTAATAAATGCTAAGGCTGAGTAATGGATGCATCAGGTTCTGTACACTCTCTATATATGAATGTGTTTGAAATTTTCCAAATTAAAATAATGAAAACATAAGAGCTTCCATTCTTTTCCCATTATTGGTCCTCTACAATCATTTCAAAGCATGTATAGTATGTCCATACCATTATTTTTATCAGAGCGCTGGGGATGGCTATTGACAGGATTGGGTTCGCCGTGTGTTGCCCAACGGGTATGAGCTATTCCAAGGTGTACATCAAATTCTATATCCAAATCAATATCCTGTTGTTCTGAAGATAAAATGAAAAATTCCAATATTAAATCATGCAACAGAGATAATGCTATGTCTAAATATAATTTATTACAGTGCTGCTCACCTGCAATATATAATTATTAAAACTGAAGATCAGGCACACTCAAAATAGTAACTGAAAGATTTAGAGGAACTAATGCAGAATACAGCTGAAATATGGTTCCAATAACAACCAAAAAAAAAAAAATGTTTTAACAGAGATAAAGTGCCCTGGCCAATGTGGCTTAGTTGGTGAAACATCATTCCATGCACCAAAAAGGTGGCAGGTTCCATTCCCGGTCGGGGCGCATGTGGGAAGCAACCAATCAATGTTTCACACAGCAATGTTTTTTTCTCTCGTTCTCCCTTCTTCTCTCTAAAATATTTTTAAAAAGAAGATAAAGAGCATGTGACAATGCTAACAACTGGTAAAACTAGATGAAATATGTGAGTGTTTAATGTACTATTCTTTCAACTTTTCTGGAGGCTTAAAAATTTTCACACTCTAGTTAGACATGTAAAAATAATTTATTTTCTCAGTGTCACACAACCTTATGAATATAATTTCTTTGGTCCCAAAACATATCTCATAATATAAACTGCAATTATGGAGAGCTTCCAAAATCAAAGAATAGGTCCTTGTGAACAGAACAACACTTTGAAAATATGGGGTTACAGACTGATGCTTCTTGATCTTGAAAAGCAGCTATTCTAATTCTTTTGACACTGAGAAAATAAATTATTTTTACATGTCTAACTAGAGTGTGAAAATTTTTAAGCCTCCAGAAAAGTTGAAAGAATAGTACATTAAACACTCACATATTTCATCTAGTTTTACCAGTTATTAGATACCAGAAGCTATCTCTTCTTGCTTCTTCCAGAAAAAAAAAAAAAGACAGTTCTAGTTACTTACTAGTAAAGCCCTCCTTCTAATTTCCTAAATACAAAATTCATTTAAACTTAACAGATAACAAAGCTTATCAGAATTAAGTCTAAATTAAGAACAAACTGCTCAGCCCTGCAAGGCATGGCTCAGTGGTTGAACATCCACCTAGGATCCAGGAGATCGAGGTTCGATTCTCAATCAGGGCACATGTCGGGGTTTCGGGCTCGATACCCAGTTGGGGGTGTGCAGGAGGCAGCCGATCAATGACAACTCTCATCATTGATGTTTCTACCTCTCTCCCTTCCTCCCTCTGAAATCAATAAAGACATGTTTTAAAAAAGAAGAAGAACAAAGTGCTCAGAAGTCTGAAAGTCCATGCACTTCAGCACAGTCTTTATAGTTTTTATACTGGCTAATAAAAGGTCATTCTAAAATACAAATCTGATAAAGAAATAAGGTTTAAAATCCTTGAATAGACTTCCATTGTTTTAAGAAGTGGTTTGCACATATGAGTCATCTTAAACCTAGTCACAAAGATTTGCAAAAAGATCCTCAAATTCTAATACACAACCAGAGAAGCATTTTTTCATGATAAAGCCCCAATACTTTTCATGGCATACAAGGTACTGCACATCTGTTCCCCATCTACCTTGCCATCCTCATCTCCGAGCCCTTATCACTGTGACCCAAGCCACCACCATCTCTCACCTGAACTAGTTCAACAGAATTCTAACTAGTTTCCCTGTAACTAATCTTCCATTAACAATCTAGTTCTGCACACCAATCAAAGTGATCCTTTCAAAACGGAATTTAGATCATGTCACTCTCCTACATAAAATCTTCTAATGGCTTTGCATGACACACACAGTAAAATTCATCATCCTTAGGGCCCTATATGACCTAGCCCTCAGCCACCTCTCTAGCTGCATCTCCCGCCACTCTTCCCCTCATTTACTGTGCCCTAGCCCCACTGACTTTCATCCGTAAGTAGGCTAAGCCCACAGAGGGTCTTTGCACTTGTGTTCCCTCTGCCTAGAATTCCCTCTTTCAGACAATCACATGGTCTCTGCTCAAATGTCACCTCTACTATATTTTTTCTTCATAGCACTACTCACTACCTAATATTATATATTTGTTATCTAGCTGTCTCATTAAACAGTAAGTTCCATCATGCCTATCTTGTTATGGTTTGTCCTCAGGGCCTACAATGATGGCTGATAAATAATGGGTACTCAATAAATATTCATTTTTATATTGAATCCTCATAATACTCTGTGAGGAGGGGTCCTGTTGTCTCCATTTTACAGATAAAGAAACTGAGGTTCAGAGATCACAGAATCTGCCTGCCATAGGTCACAGAGAATAGTAAATAGAGAGAGGAATTCAACCCAAATCTGGTTGACTCCTCAGCCTAAGATTAAAACCCCAATGGTAAACTTTGCTGCACTATTTATTACACATATGACATGTTGTCAACCTGGCTTCCATTAGAATTTGAGTTCTACAAAAGCAGCAGCTTGTCTTATTTATCCTTGAACCATAAGCATTAAGAGCTAAATAGGGAAGATACTCAAATCCTTATTGGCTGGCTCTATCAATGAATGGATACAATCATCGATGTGTTCTTTCCTAGCTTACCTGTGTTCTGAATAATTATGATGACCTAATAAATAAGTGAACCCCAGAAAAGTAAAGGATACTGTTTATCACTAGTTAACAATAGTCACAAGCTAGTGGAAGCAATAAAAGCATATGACTAGTTTTTTAAGCTACCTATAATTAAAGCAGTATCTCCCTCCACATGCTGACAAGCAACACTGGAGAGTCCCTAAGAAGAGTCTGTAAATTGAGTCCATGTCAAGTTCATGGTGATTACCAAACCTATTTATTTCACTGTCACCATTTAAGAAACATGTACCTATGTTCCTTATTCATTAAATTGATAGCTCAATTCCCCAACAGTTCATGACATCTTTTCCATTCTCCTTAAGCCTCAATCCTACCTATATTCCCTCAATTGCCACTTTACTCAGCTTTTTCCCCCTCACCTCATAACTGTCTGACTTAGCTTTTCTTCTACCTTTGACTCCTATGAAGGCTAACTCCCTACTTGTGGCTTCACCTATCTGAGCTATAATCCCCCAATAATTTCCTTATTTGCATCTTCTATCTTCCCACCACCTTCATGCCCAAGGCTTTTTGCCCTCTTCATACCTTTTCTCAGATCTCACCCTTCTCTTTTTTATTTTAATAGTTCAAACATTTAAATTTGCTAGCAATGATAAAGACTCAAATACCTTCATCCAGAGAGAACAAATGTCAACATATAGTCATTTGTGCTTTACATCTTATTAAAGACATAAAATGTAAAACATCTTTCATTTGTGTCACTCCCTAAAACAGCAGCCCTGCTTTTGCCCCAAACTTCACTGCCTTTATTGTCAACACCATCTAATGATACTACCTACTCCTCTGTCAATTTCCTTATCTGCAAAATGAGGATGATAATTTTACCTACTTCATGGGTTATAATAAGGAATAAGTGAGTTAACACATAAAACACAAGAGTACCTGGAACACAAAAAGCAATCAATAAAAGTTAGCAATTCTAATCAAAGTCAGAAGCTACCAATAACTTCTTACTCCACAAATCCAAAGGCCTTTTCTGAGAAATCTTCCTTCCCCCTTTTTTCCCGCCTTGTGAATTGCTCTTTAATATTAAGTGGTGGACAATGACTTTATTTTCTTTATACAGGTCTGATCTTTTATTATAACATTCTTTTTTCTACATAGAGAAACAAAAATTACAACAACTAGAAAAGCTATTCTGAACTTTCCTTGCTAAACTACAGACTAATTTTGTGGAACAGGAAGTCTTCAAAAAGTCATTTCTTTTTTCATTATAAATTTGTCTAAAAAGACTGATATTCAAAACACTTCGTCTTCCTTCCCTTTTGACTTAAGTCAAACATATTGAAACTTGCTGGGAATAATATAAACATCACAAACATCCAAATATCCACACCCAGAGTTAACAAAAGTAAACATCTAACCATTTGTGCTTTACATCTTTTCTAAGATCTAAAATGTAAATAATGCAGTTGATACCTCCTTTGTACCCTGCCCATCCCATTCCTCCCCATAGGATTCTCAAGTTGATGGAGAACCTTCTCCACTGTGCCTTCAAACTTCTATTAGGCTTAATACGTGTTCATAATTTATAGTATTTTTTGTGGTTGTTTTTTTTTAGGCAGCAAATATTTATTGACAGCAATGTTGTAAACACTAAAATGATAAAGACTTTTTATCTTGTACGACATTCAACTTTTTTGTCAATACAGTTTGTTTTTTAAATGGTCCTATTCCTCACATATCCTATTGTAGGCTGCTTTTTTCACTTAACATTAGGTCAGTAATCCTCAGGTCCCCACATGAAAGGAGTGAACTAGATCCAGTACACTCCTTTCAAAAGCTACATATGGTATTCACTATCATTAAAACTTATTATCCCATTCCATTACTGGTAGACAGAGGTTGTTTCTAAATTTTGCTGCAATGAATCTTCTTGTCATGGTTCCTCATCGACAGTGTCTTTTTCAAGTATATGCCCAAGAGTGGAAGTGCCTGGTCACAGGGTATAGGCATCTCCCATACAGACATTGTCAGATTGCTCTTCAAAGTGATTTATTAATTAAGATTTCACCAACAATGTCTGCAATTTCCCATTTCTCCACTACTTCCTGACTTTCCTACAGAAAAGGAGGAATGTTTCAGTGTTGACATTCAAAGATGGTGATTCTGGTCACAACCTGCCTTTCTAGCCTCCCACACTCATCTACTAATAATGCAGATAAAAAGGACTATCTAACTTGAAACCTATATAATTTTATTAACCAATGTCACCCCAATAAACTCAATAAAAAAAATTTTTTAAGGACTATCTTCCATTCCATCAACAAACTTGCCTTCCCTACTTTTGGAAAGGCCGTCCTCACGAATTGTGGCTACTTCATTTTAGAATACTGATCTTGCTCTAAACACAGTGGACCTAACCAATTTCCTTTCCTAATTAATATGATCATTTTTGAAGCTCAGGTATATTTTAAAACCAATAACAAAACTACTTTTTCTTCTCTCCCTTCAACATTAAGAACCACTAAATGGGGCCCAAAATATGGGAAGAAAGGTAATTGATAAGGAAAGGAGAAGGAAGAGAAGGGGAAGGGGGACAGAAATCAAACTAAGTACATTACTCTGAACTTCTTCATCCAGTGCTTTTACTTTCCCTTTCTTCTTAATGAGCTGGATTTTGCAGGCATTGGCTTCCCAGTCTTTGTCATTGCCTCCATCAAATCCCACACCTAAATCATCAAGAGGCAGAATAGCAAAATTTAAAAACTGGCTATTACCTAGATTATCAGTGTGAGAAAAAATTTTAATTACAATATTTTCCATCTAATTAATTCATTTACTTATCAATTCAACATATATATTATATGTGAAGAAACAGGATATCTGCTATAGACAAAAATGAAAATAACCCAGTTCCTGCCCACAAATTTCTAATAGTGTATTGAGAAGACAAAGAAAAAATAATTATATACAGTGTGGTTTCAGGTTATAATAAAAGTATTACAGGTTGTAACTGGAGTATAGTAGAGAAAAAGAGAAGATGGGCACCCACCTCAGAAGTGGGATAAAGAGGAAATGTCAGAAAATACTCTCTTGAAATTCTACTTAAGATCCTAAGGAGTGTGACAAAGTTACTCTGAAGGTACTGGAAAAGCAGAGTAGTTTCAAAGTAGAGAAATCACATGGCAAAAGGTTTAGAAAAATCTCTTTGGAAACAGTATAAGACGATAGACAGGGAAAACAAAAAGAAGAAACCAGCTCTCAAAAGTTACAGCTATAGCAAATCATAAAGGAAGAGGGTCTGAACTAAACAGTGGTAATGAAGATTGATATGGGTGATACTGAGTAGAAATGACTGGATGTAATATGAGAAAGCGGGAGAAGTCTGGTATACCTCCTAGGCTCAAAGGACCCAGTGATAAAAGGCACACAGAAAGAATTGATTGGAGAGTGGGATGAAAACTGGAGTATATTCAGATCAATTCTGAATAAAAACAAAAGTTTTAATATCTTGGTTTATAAAGGGAGAAATCTCTTGGAGGAAGTTGGAAATATAAATGTGCAGCTTGGAGAAAATATCTGAATTTTAAGTCACCAACATAGAGGAAGCTAGTGAAGTCAGAGCTCACCCATGAAGATACAAAATAAGAAAAGTGGTCCAAGGAAGTACCTTGAAGAACAGTAATAATTAAGCAATAGGTGGAAGAACAGGAGCCCCCAAAGCAGTCAGAAAAGAAATAATCAGCATGTAAGGAAGATAATGAGATGTGTTGTCAGAGAAGCTAAGGAAGAAGAATTTTAACAACAAAGTAGTTGAGGAATTGACTTTCCATTAACTGAGGAAAGTCATGGAAGATAAATGCCCATTACAGCTGTCAATGTTAAATGGACAGAAAGGAGTTACCAGAGCAGGCCTGACATGCTACCCTTAGAAATGCCACTTGCAAAGTTGGCTCTTGGATTTCAGGAGGGTTCCCACCACCCTAACTGATGAAAAATGGCTCACTGCACCTAAACTGTAGGTGCATCACATGGCTTATGCTGAACATCTGCATCACTTCTAGGAGTCTGCAATTTGGTACATGTTAGACAGAGGGTGTCTATGTGACCAGCCCCCAATGAAGACCTTGGACATTCAGATGCTAATGAGTTTCCCTGGTAGACAACATTTCACACAAGCTGCCATAATTTGCTGGGAGAATCAAGAGCCCCTAGTGAAACTCCACTGGAAGAGAACCCTTAGAAGCTTGTACCAGGTTTCCTCCACACTTCACCCCATGTGTCTTTTCTCTTTGCTGTTTGCTTTGTACTCCTTTGTTTTAATAAATCATAGCCATGAGTACAACTACATGCTGAATCCTTCCAGGAAATCATCAAATCTGAGGGTGGTCTTGAGGACCCCCAATACAGTTAAGGGAAGAAGCTAGAATAGAACATAAAGTTGACAAAAAGTTATTTTTATTTGCTTTGTCATTTATTTAAAGTGAAAGACTCTTAAGCAAGTTTATATGCCAAAAGCCTGGAATACCTGGAGAAAAATAAATCAAATTTATAGAAAAGAAAAAAGATAATTTATACAATAAGGCCTTCAAGATCTTTGTTCTACCAACCATGAAAATGCCCCAGATGATTTATGTTTTTACAGTAACATTCTTAACAAAAGAAGATACCTATAAGAAGCAATACTCTACATAAATTATAATACCGTTGAAATTACATGAACAGACCCTTTTTAAACATGATAAAAGACAAAAATTCTTCAGATTTTAGATTTGCACAAAACAAACATTATTAGATAATTCAGTCACATAGAACAAAAACTCTTCCATTTAGATTCAAGAATCACACAAAACCCATAATATTTTTTTTAAAAGAAATACCAGCAGAATCATATCCTCTGTACTCCAGTCTCTGAAGGCCTTTGATTAGGGTCTCCAAGATTTCTCGTCTTGTGCGAGGGACATGGTAGTTTAAGTAAGCAAATATACCTGCAAATAAACAAATATTTAATAAAAAATTCTGTATAAAGAATAAAAATTAACATAATTATGACAAAATCTTCATTTGCATAATTATATATAAGATGTGCACAAATGTGAAGCTAGAGTCCATCAATAAAAGAGAAATAAATCCTCACTTCGAATTGTCTAAGGCAGTAAAACTTTTCCAAAGGGGGATTTCTCATTTATAAAAGACTAAAGCAAATATGTGAAAATAAATGTTTCTTTTTTTCAAAGCAGCTTATAAGTGTGGTCACTTATTCCATCACTGCCATTTTGTCAAGAGAAATCTAATTTTAAAAAACTAACCAATCAACAAATTTGTCGTTTATGTTCTAAATACTGAGCATTATGTTTCAAGAAAAGCATTTCCTGGAGTATTTTAAGCTACACAAGGGCCCTACAAAACTATACAGATGAAATAATTTTTCTTATTTCCAATGACTATGTTGGAAATAACATGTAGGAATAAATAATTTATAAATATCAATGATGTGAAAAATGCTACCTAAATAATCTAATAATAGGGGAAATATTAAAATATATATGTAATCATGTACAAAGAAAATGACTTGAATCACTTACTCACTAGATACTAGTTAACAACAAATAACTGCAATGTTTACAACTCTTGAGAATTCATAAGAAAAAAAGGAATAATCTGGAAAAGCGAAACTAGCAATAAAAGAACTAGTATATGTGAACTGAGTCAGGCAAGCAAAGAGGTAGTAAACAGAACACAGGCAAAAAATATCCACATATTAAGAATAGCAGGATGGAAATTATCTGAGGCCTTCCATGATTGTGCTTTGGCCAAGGTGGAGAGCGGTGAAGACCAAAATATGAGGAAATAAAAGTTCAAGTTGCTTATTTTTAAAAGAGTTTCGTTTTTCTTATATTACACTATAATGCCACTGAATCATGAGGGGATAAAATGAATTCTGTGGAGTAGAATACCAAAATAACTAGTCTTTATTTCCATTTGAAAAGATCTCTTTATTTCTATAAATAGCTTGGTCCTATTGAAGCATTTCAGCATACAAAAATACCAAATTGTTAAGATCCAACAAAGAAGTCATAATATGGGTATGCTGAGCACCATGATCAGTACAATTTTTCAAATAAATTATCATTCCCTTTAAAAAAAAAGGAAAACAGGTTTTAAAACTAAATCCAACACTGCCATCTTGCCCTGACAGCTCATGCTCAGAAATTGTTGCTATGCAACTCAAAGGCACAGGGGGGAAAAAAACATAAAAAAAAACACCTAAATCCAAAATAACCAGAAACTACTGTTTAAACTTTCCCCAAAAATGGAAGTATAAGGCCAAGAACTTAGAGAAATCCTGTATTTCATTCATATTCAAAAAACAAACAAAAAAAAGAACACCTTACAGTTGTAAAGATTTTTTAGAGTTATCATATGCTATACAAGCATATTATTTTCGCAGCACCACAACCTTGCATGAGCTCTGGGGTTTTTATTGTTACTGCTATTCCTTCATAAAGTATCTATAATATGAACAATCTAAACCAATTACCAACTGTAAATCAAACCTTTATGTGTTCTACACTTATTTCCCCTATGGGTCACTGACCTTAGATAAAGATTAAATGCAGAAAACTATCAGTCCCAAATAAGTATTTTTATTAGATCACTGAAGGACAATGCATAGAATATAAATATTTCCCCAAATATTACTTTACTATACATATGCTAAAAAATGCTTATTCTCAACTAGTCCACTCTCCACCACTGTGACTAGCTTCAGCTAAACAATCTGCTAAAGGAGAATATAACCTAACTCATTTGCAGGTCATTAACTAATAAAACATATTACCCTGTCAGTACCTGTTTGCAGTCTGAGGCACTATGGACAGCCTTGAAGAGGAAGAGCTGCCAAATGCCAGTAATTCAGCAAAATCAGAAAAATTCACTACTAAATCATCTTTTTCTTTAAGAAATGTAATTATGATGATAAAATATATATGGAAAATTAAACATTGAATATAATAACCAAATATCAATTTAAATTTTTTAAATACTAATGACACAGACTACATTTTTTAAAAAAATTCAGATGTAATATTAAATTCACTGTTTTCAATACATGTAACTTAACATTGTTCAAATTTGATATTAACTTTAATATCAAATTAGATTTTACATTGATTTACATTGGCTCATTATGTGACTCTTGAGATCTTGAGATCTTGAGTAGAATATTATAAAAAAAGGAATCTTTTAACCAATACCCATCTCCAAACAAACTTACAAAACTGTGAATGATAAACTAATAAAATTCAACTCAGCATTTGTTAGCTCAAAAACAAGTACTCTTGCCCAAAAAAGTACCCTTTTGTTGAAGAAACCCTTAGAATTCTTTTAACTCATGTGTGTCCCCAAAGCTTTCCACTGTACCACCCTGCCTCAGCTTCCCCTATACAATTATATGAATAAGTTTGACTAAGAAATGGTAAAATAGTTTTTACATCAATTGCCAACAAATTATTAACTGGTAGTGGCTGGCTGTAAAAACCACCACCAAAAAGGATTCAATCAAGGAAAGCCATGACTGACTAGCAACATCTATTATCTGGGGAGTGACAGCATAAGGGCCACATATTTCCTACCTCTGACACCTGAGAACATTTACAGTCCCTTCCAACTAGATGTTGATGATTTCTGAGAATTCTTCTCTGATTGCTTTAGAGACTTTCCTGATGATTTCAACATTTTTTATTCTTATTAAGACATTTTATTTGAACGTGTGTATTATAACCCTAGAAAGGGAATCCCAGGATTTTCCTTCGTGTGTGTTTTCGTCTTGCTTCTTCATGTCCATGATGCCAGCTGAGGCTGTCAGTACAATGAAACCAAACTGCCAGTAGGAGCAGGTTGTTCTGCCATTTCTATAGATCTTGGAGTTGCACATCAAATCTGGGGCTGACTACTCCACACTTGTTTAACCTGCCCATAAGGTTCACAACAATTTTTCCCAGCTCTGTGATCATCAATAATTTTAAATTTGCCAATGTAACCATTCCTCATCATCACAGTTAGAAACTGGGCAATGACTTAGGAGCACAGCCTAAAAACAACACGGTGTTTGTCTCTCTTTTCAGCATTGTTTAAACTCTTGAGAGCATCAGCCAGGACATTCGTGTGCACCATTAGGCAGCACAGAGAAATGGTGGAAAGAGGATAAGAGGGGCAGATTTTGACATTTTTTAATACCTCTACAGGCTGCACTTCTCTTCTGTCCTTATTTCTTTGTTACAACATTTATATGATTTTGTTCCATGTACACTGTATCTACCAAATTAAAACTGGAAACCTGGTAAAGGGCCTTATTTTCAGAATAAAGCAGGTCCTCAAATATCAAATATCGTCATTTCGTTCAACATGCTTTTGCTATAATTGCTATAACAGAAATCAGATAAATAAACGAGAGTGGGAGGTGGGGAATGGGAAGGTCTGTAATAAGGCCAACAATAAAAATAAAGGAAAAAAGTCAGTTTCCAGTGGGGCCACTGTCTGTGTGGAGTTTGTACATTTTCCCCATGTCTGCATGGGTTTTCTCCAGATACTCTGAGATGTGCACGTGAGGTAAACTGGCATGTCTAAACTGTCCCAGTTTGAGTGTGGGTATGAGTGAAACTTCTGATGGAAGGGTGTCCTGTCTAAGATGGGGTCCCACCTTGTGCCCTGAGCTGTGGGTATAAGCTGTGGGTAAAGGCTCTAGCCACCCATGACCCTGAAATGGAATTAAGCAGGTTTGGAAAATAATTATCTTGTTTATATTCATCTTCCTCAAGTGTATGTATAGCTCACATTTATTTCAAAGTTTAATATTCTACGTATTTTGAGTCTTTATTTAGAAATTTGGTGATGTTTTTGTGACCGGAAATATGACACAGGAACTTAACTCTTGTTTATATCAATTAGCCTATGGTGAAACTGGTTTCGATATCTGTTGTTTCACTTAAGGTCGCAGTTTCCAAGAACCCATCGATGACATTGAGAATTTACTGTATATTGTAAAGAATTAAAAGCAAAGTAACATACAAAATATGAGGACATTGTTCTACAAAACCATATTATTGGACCTAAGAAGATAATGCTCTAATATAATCTAATACAATGTTCATATTCAAATTTTCCATATTATCAAAAAATACCATTTATAGCTGATTTGCCTCACATCTGATTGTCTCGTAAGTCTCTCTGAATCCAGAGTGGTTTCTCCTACAGTCCTGTTTTCCCTAAGACATTGACTTACTGACCAGCTGGGGCTGATTTTCTCGTTGAACATCTCACATTCTGTGTCTGTTTCTACATATGGTGGTATAACCAATTACTCTATTCCTTATATTTCCTATAAAATGGAAAAGATATCTAAAGGCTAGATTGAGTTAGGTTAAAAATTTGAGGCAAGAATTATTCACAAGTAGGTATGTATTTTATATTGTCTGTAGTCCCCTATTAGTGATGCTATTCATCACTGGTGTAAGTAAAGACAAAGACAGTCACTTTGCCTATGATATTTTGAAAGCACCTGCAAAATACTTTCTAGGATTTTAGATTTTGCTGATAGCATTGATTTTATTTTCTTTCTTTGTAGTCTATATAATAATGATGCATTTCCCAATCAGTGGCATGTTAAATACCACATATCAAATTCCAATTCAAAATCTTCCCCTTTTTTGAGACAGGAAGCACTACTATTACCAATAATCATTACTGCCATTTTTCTGGTTCACTGTTGAAATAAAGAAAAGAGGAGAAATGGAAGAAGAAGCAGGAGCAATATTTCTCCTCACATAACTGGGCAGGAACTAGAAGAAAAGAATGACACACATAGAGAAATTTTCTAAGATCAAAGTAATAGAGAAGGAAGAAGAAAGAAAGGGGATTAACCTAAGTCACCCCTGGTTAGGAAAATGAAAGATAGATTAAATCTGACAATTTTACACACCAGCTCCTT